CCCCTCCCCAATAGTTTAGGTACCCAGCGTGTGTTTTCCTATTCCTGCTTCATCGTCAGGCCTCTCAACGCTTTGTATGCTCCTAGGAAACATAATTCCCTTACTTAAGGCATTTCCCGGAGAACTAATGTGTTCTGTTAGGCTTGTGAAAGCTGTGTACTTCCTTCACCTAGTCCATTATAAATATTGGCCTGGACGAATTGGACGATGATAAGCATATTTTTTTTTTTAGCCATATGTGCTGAGCGTTGGTCGTGCATTAGGCTTAATAGTATTTCAGGCTTCCATAATTTAGTTTTCCACACTGGGCGGTTCTAAGTGCCACTGATTCAAACTACATATTTGTTGGACAGAATCATTTCTAGGGAAAATGACTAAAACACTGACCAGTGGCACAATCTTTTTTTTTTTCTCCTTTTTAAAAAAAAAATACTTCTTTCAGCAGTCTGTCATTTTTGCCTGCATTTTCACCCTGCTTGAAGGATTATGCAGGGTTTTTTTGGCCGTGGTTTACAAAGGAAGTCACATTTAGGAGCTGTTTGGGAGAAGCTTTGTTTCTGTGACCTTTGTTTAGGGAAAAAAATAAATCACATATGAGAAAGCCCCATGACTTGTCTCTGGATATTTAAAGGCATAAAATCCTAATTCAGATCAGATTTAAAATTTTCAAGTATTTCTATGGAATGCAATATGTACTTTTTGCTTTCTGAAATTTAAGTATCCATGCAAACGTTTCTAGGTTCTGCTGCTAAAACATTGTTTAAACAGTAAAATTATTGCTTGAGAGTTCTTATCCTAATGTATATGGGCTTGATTTAATAGAAGAGGAACACTCTTACAATATCTAAATGATAAAATACAAAATAAATTAGGTGCTTATTAACTGTAGCTGACTGGAGCTTGCAAGATACCTTGATGACTGCTGCTGAGGTCAAGCATTTGCTGCTCTTCTCATGTCGCATGTCCTGATGAGTCTTCCAAGAACGGCACTGGCAAGCTGCTCGGTTGTGCAGTTCCCGCTTTCTTGTCTCTGCATTTGGCAGTGATCTGACTGGAAATAGCCAAGGGAAAAATGGATTTTTTCCATGCTCGACAAACACCTTTCTAGAAGGCAAGTTGATATTAAGATTCGTTTTTCCTTGGGTATGGAGTGACAGCGTGATGCAGGAACCAGTCAATGCAGAAATTAGGAAAAATGTATAGCAATCCTTTGAATTCTTTAAACTTTGTACATGTACAGGGAGATCTTGCTTCAGTGAGTGTTGATGAAGCGTTCTGATTCTTTATTTCATTTGTGCGAGTAGACTCAGTTCTTCAGACTTTCTTCAGTAGCTTGACAAGCGGAGTTGCCACTAGGTATGCTCCCATTCAAAGACAGTTGTTGAGCAGAAGGGTAAAAGGTACAACAATCCAAAGCTCACACCCGACTGAGACTTTTAGAGGAACTGAAGGCTACCACAGATGCAGCTCTGTTCCAGTTTGAATGCAAAGTGTGCTTCCCTCAACTGCAGCTGATTATTAACTTTCCTGTTCTAAAACTTATGCAGGCAGCAATACCGAACTATGTCATGGCAGAGTAGTTAAATGCTGTGGAAGTGAAAAGGGGTAATTTCTATGGAAATTCAGAGTCTTGTTGAATGTTCCTGTCGCTTTGGTGTGGAAGGAAACGCTTGGTGCAGACATTGGTTTTGTTTCCTGGTGGTTGAAACCCTGACCTTGTCAAAGCCATTAGCAAAACTCCCATTGACTTCCCAAGGGCTCGGCTGTCTGTGTTTTCAGAGGAGTTTGAGTAACTCAGTGCTAACAAGTGAAGGGTGTGTGAGTGGAAGTAGGGTGTTCGTTTGGTTCAGACGCCCATGTTACTGTGAGAACTAGAATGAGGAAGAAGTTGATACTTTCAGTTTAAAAATTAATAAACAAATAAAAAAATTGCCTTCTCTTTGGAGTGTTAAGTTTTGTTTTTTCTTGAGTTGAGGAGTTAGTGGTGAAGATTAGGAAGTGATGAGAGCTGATGGTTGACCCCTTTCCTGTCTTTCTGTCTGATATCCAGACCAGTAGCTAACCCTGTCACCAACCAGTATTATTAGCATGCTCGGGAATAGCATTGCTGGTGGAAGAATTTGTATGGAGTAAACCAGCTGTGAATTTACAGAGCTGTCCTACAAATTTGCTATACATCTCAATTGAAATATGTATATTGATACAAAGAATTGTATCAACAATTAGATCTACCTGTGCAGACGAAAAGCTAAACTGTATCCTGGGGACTTGCAGTCTGTCCTCTGAACATCCTCTCATTATGTGTTGTGTTTGGCTGCCCAGCTGTGCAGCTAGACAGTCGAAAAGCTCAAGGCTCAATGTATTGTACAATCTGTACGTTTGTCAGTATAGTGCAGTGTAACATGTTTAAAGATACTTACAGTTAGCTGCAGAAATTTTCAAGATGAAAAAAGAAAGTCAGTCACTGCTTTTGTCAAGAATGAAGTATTTGGTGTATGTCTCTTGGTTGTAATGCTGTTGCTGAGACCAGTGGTACAGGCAGCTGTCTGGTGAATACAGATTTGAAGGGAGAACAAACAGTCATGAAGGACTATGTCAGTTAGTTCTGCAGCCTTTCTGCTCAAGGGAATTTGGTGTTTTGCTGTCTCTTCTCTCAAGCAGCTGCGTTTTAATGTTTAACTTTTAACATTAAATAGAATATTTAACTAGGAAGTATTTTTAGCCAGTGTTGGTGTTGTAGTTAGCGTGCTATTAACATGACTAGAAACAGTCGTAACTTTTAAAAGAAACTATGTTAACAGTTCTCAGAAATGGTCTTTTTCTAACTTGTTTTAGGCAGTTGCTTTGGACTTTATGCCTATGATTGTATTTTCTGCTAAATTGGTAGAATTTCCTTACTTCTTCAATACCCAAGGCATAGAACCATTCATTTGCTATGAAGTTTGCATGAGTTTGGTCTTACAATACAAATCCAATGCAATATTGCCCAGAGTTTGCAAAACGATCAAGGGTTGTTATGCCAGCCTCAGACTGGATAAGTGGGATTTGGGCTGGCTGACTGACTTCAGACTTCGGCTTGTGACCCAAAATAACTTGAAACTGCAGGGAACAATACTGCAGAGAGCCAGCATGACTCACGGGTCATTGATTGAGCAGCAAGTACCTAGAAGAGTGCAAATATGCTCCCTATTGCCTCATCTGCCATCAGGTTGTTCATTACTGGGACTTCAGGGCCTGAAGACTCCAAGCAGGGTTTGGGACGCTGGTGCAGCAGTGGTTTCAAGATCATGCAGGGTTTGTCTTCACAACAGCAGCAGCTTGTTCATCCAGCATAGGAAATGGAACCTGTGGGGCAACAGGGATGAGCCTGACCTCTGTAGTTATATCCCTGGTGAAGTTCTGGTGGGATGTGTCTGATCGGTGCAATGTCTTGGCAGCTCTACTGGAGATCATTTCATATCATTGAGATATACAAACAGTCATGTTTTAAAACAATCAGGGTGTTGCTGTGCTGTATTAGTACAGGCATTTTCAAAGATGAAAGAAAATAACATTTGGCAACAAGGACTGTTAATTGTTTTTTTTTTTTTTAAAAAAACAATTTCATAAGGACTTGACTTTACAAACTGTAGCACAGCTGGTATCACACTTGACAAATCAGGTTTTTTTTCATTTCCTCCTTTTCTGTTTAAATATTTAAATGTGCTTTCTCTCTCTCCCTGAAACTGAGTTTTAGCTGTGTCTGTTGACCAGAAGCTGACAGGCCAGGAGAAGACAACATTGCATAGAAGACATGTGGTTTGGGTTGAACAGTGGAAGTGCAGGGAACTGGTGAGGTTAAAATGTTGAACCGGTGAAGGTGATATGCGGGAGAGTGGAAAGTTAGTTAAGACTAAGCACAGCCTGGATGAAGTGGTGGGATTGTGTTGGATGCACATATGCTTGATTAGTCTGCATTCTCATTGCAGAACAGATAAATTGTCAGTTTTGATTTGCATGTGTATCCTCAGCTATGTCTGTGTTTAGAGTATCTTTGAGCTTGTGCCGAAATTTGGTCTGTAGGGATTGAAAGCAGGCTAAGACATCTCTGGTATTTACATGCTGCATGATTGTATATGTGTGCTTTTAGGGTGAGTGTGTTTGTGAGTGTTTGTGTTGTCAGATTTTGACCTTTTTAGATAAGATATGATAGTTCTGGGTGCAAAAAACAGCCCTAAAAATGCATTTATATACCCAAGTTGTTGAAAAATGAGTTCATTTTGAGAAACACAGCAGCTGAAACAGGATAAAGTAGCAACTCAAAGAATTCAGATGAAACTGGATTACAACTAAAACTGAAGTTGATACAAATGATTGGTGTTTAGAGGGAATTAGGTGCCTCCTTCATTCTTGTATCTTGTGTGATACCTGCTGTGGTTTTTTATTCAGTGATTTATATATGCTAGGTTGTATTGGTGGGATGGGTGATACATGGTATGTAAATAACCATATAAATGATTTGAGACATAATTCATCAGAGGATTTAGCATTGACAGATTAAACGCACAGCTTTCTTCTGGAAGGAGAACAAATGAAAATGCATACTTTTTCTTTGCTTACAGTGGGGAAAATACATAAGAAGTTTGACAAATGATGTAGTTTCTGTGATGTAGCTGCTGTAGAGTAATTGCAGATCTTAAGCCATGTGCATTACTAAGAATCTTAATAGTAGGAGTTATTACAGGAAATTTAAAAATAATGTCATGTTCTTATTGAATACTTTTTTTAAGAAAGTGTTCCCTTAAATTCTGTCTTTGTTTTTGGAGAGGTTAAACATTAGTATATGGAGTTTTCTTTAATCTTTTCCCATGTATTTTTCTTTAGTATGATGAAGACCTTTGTAAACCAATGACTGAGACATAACTCTCTTTTCTGGGGGGAAGGGGGTTTTAGGTGTCCTTAATAGGTGGAGACTGACTTGTTCCCATCGTGGATGATCTTGACAGCAAATCTACTCAGCCATGTCGTACAGTGCGGGTTTTGGGGATCCTAATCAACTAGCCCAACGCATAACTTCTAACATCCAGAAGATCACACAATGCTGTAAGTTGCATTTATGCATGTTTTCTCTAAAACTTTAAAAATGGTGGTGCCCCCATTTGAGGTTAGTTTCTCAGAGTCATTCATGGGAATTCACTCCGACATCACCTGCTCATTTGACAAGTTTGCAGCACTCCACACAGCAGATCCAGTCCTTCATGTGTGTGGTTATGCGTGATCTGTCCTGTGGAAGCATAGTATCACTCTGTATTCACCAAATGAATGAATAATTAGCAAGATGCCTGCTGGTAATAAGCCAGTTTTGTTCTGGCCAGTTATGTGGTGCCTTAAGATGATAGATGGAGATGTTTGCTGAGCAGGGATTGCATCAAATATTTGATGGAGCTTGAATTGCTTAGCAGGGACAGAAGCTGCGGCCTTGCAGCTTGCCCTTGGAAGTATATATTAGATATGTAAATCAGATCATGCAAGTTTTAATATACCTGTGTTTAGATTCATGTCACCTAACTGGGATCTTCAAGTTAGAGGTAAGTTGGGCTGCTGGGATTTTCAGTCCTTTTTCCCTTTCCATTGTATTTTTAATATGTGTGTGTATACATAAAGCAAATGCAACCTGGTCTAACAATTTATGCAAAGTATACTGTTCATTGGAAGGGAGCTAGCCCTGAAGAGCATATAGCTAGGTTTTGGCATGCATGTTTTTAATGTGCAGGACAGTGTGCATGCAGAAATGGGTATTTTATTATTAAAACTTCAAATGAATTCTGATCAGTTAAGTGTGTCAGTTTTTATTAAAACTTTGATCTTTTTTTTGCAAGAAAAGTTTTAGGAGTTGGTATTTATAGCATAGATTGATGGAACAGATTGTGCTTTTGCCTATTTTTTCAGCTATGTTTTGTATTTTCTTCCAGAAAAAAATTCTTTAAATCTCAACGGACAGGAAGCAGTATTGCAATTTTGCTTTACTGAAAAGTTTCTGTACCTCAGGGTTGTGTTTCCTCAACCTAAAATTAGCATACTGGCTCTGAAAACCCCTTATGTTTTATTTCCTAAAATCTGCTCAGTCTCATGGCTTCTGACTTGGGCTCCAGAGACACATGCCAACCTGTGACAGACACTGAGGCCCTAAGATGTAAGAAAGTCTTGGTTGTCAGTTGAAAGCATAAAATGAAATCAGTGGTTGAAACTGGAGCGTTGCGAAGAGAGTTGCTGAACGTCATTAACCATCTTGTGCTGGACTCAGCGAGTCCTTAGTCTCATCCTGCGTCTTCCATCTCCTCTCTTGCTTCTGTTGTGTCTCCCTTCCTCTTGTGACAAACAAGGCATACTAAAAGCAAGTTGCCCAGACTTAGATAGGAGATGTGCCACAGGGGTTACCTGCAATACTGCTCTCCTTTCCTTTTTGAAATTTACATGGTTAAAATCTGAGCACTGGACAGGTGCTTCTGCCATTCCAAGACCCAAGTCCAAATCTCTTTTAGCCCTACTGCTGTGTTTTTGGGAACAGGAGCTTTGCCTTCAAAAGCTGCAGCCAAGCACTTTTCTAGGACTGGTAGGTACACGGCTAGGTTCCATCCCTTGCTGTTCTGTAGATCTGACTGAACTGTAACCTCTCAGTTACTCTTGTAGTCCATGCTCCTCTGGTAGATTTTTATGAGGATCTGGATCCTATAGGCATGCCAAACATGTTTCCTGGACTGAACCTCTCTAAGGGCTTATGTACACTTTTCTAGCTATTTCTTTCCCATGTGTAGTACTTGTCCAACTTTCTGTTGGAAGGTGCGAGCTGGAGGAACTTCCAGGTCAAATGGAGAGAAACCTGTAAGCTTAGGGTCCTATAGAGCTAGTCAGCTGCTGAGCAGGTGTCTCTTAGACTGCAATTTATGGTCTTGGTTAGGGAGAGAAGGGGAGAGAAACAGGAATCTTGACCCTAAATCCATGTTTTTCTTTCTAAGCAGTTGACTTGATTTTGCACTTCTGTCCAGAAATGCTTAGCATTTGTGAGATGTGTCAACATATTTGAAATCTTCTTGGTTAACCTGGAGTTGTGTAGATACACTGGTTTTCAGAGTGAGATTAACAGAGTAAGAGAGTTCTGTTTAAGATAACCGAACTGTTTCAGGAGGTCCCTCAAAGCTAATTCACACTTTTGCTAACATGCAAGCAAACTGTGAACACTACTACAGAAATATAGATGAGATACAGGTTAGTTGAAAGGAAGCTGCCTCTTCCAGCTAGAAGCTGGGCCTTCACCTTGTGAGAGAAATACAGAACAACTTCCTGAATTAGACAACACCATGCTGCCGAGATTTCATAATACACTGGAGTTTTACAGGAAGTAGCGTTGGTCGGAACAACGATCTTCACTGTAACATTTCTTCAAGGTTGAATTATTACGCATACGTCCTCCAAGTAATAAATTTGACCTGGTTCTTGATTAACTGTTTTTAATACGCTATACATATAAAAGATAAAATACATATATGAAATACCTCACCTTTCGTAATGCATCTACGGGACACTGCTGTTGTAATACTACTTGTGATCCTTACCTCCCTGCTTTTCTGGTTCATGTAGCCCACTGTTACTGATAGACAAGCAAAGCTCGCCTCTATGCTGGTTTAGCACGCTGCTTCAATAATTAAATAAGTTGCAAGATAGTATTCTTTTTGGTTTGTTCTGTGGTAATGGAGGGGGCCTATGTTTGTATCAGGTAACAGCTGGGTTGGCTTAGCGCCCTTTTAGCTTTAAAGAACAGATTTTATTGTTCTGTTGATCCAATCATGTAGTCGATTGTTACGTTGAAGATGTGTTAGGAGTTGTAAATTGGTTCTGCCTGGCCTGAACTGCTGGTGAACTACTACAGTAAATGCTATCTGTGGTGAGCTGTTAAGAGTTTCTTTGGAGGAGGAGGTGTTGGTGGGTCATTTTGAGGACCCTGAAGATAGAGCTGAACTAGCTAAGGGAAGCAGCAAGCATTGCTGTCTGCACTCTGAGATCTCTTCAAAACATAAGCCAAGAGGGCACCTGTATGTGTTTGGGATCTGAAAGCCCAGATTGCTCTGTGAAAAGAAGATTCTTTCAGCTGTTCTTTAAAAAAGGATCTGTGCTCTGTTTTGCATTTCCAGCTTTTCTGCAGAAATAAGTGATTGTAGCATCAGACTCCATTTCCTAGATGTTGCTACTTTCCTCAACCTGAAGCTCATGTTTTGCTTATCAGTGACATCTCCGAGCTAAGATTTAGGGGACTAGTCTGCGGAGCATTTCTCCATGCCTTTTGTTAAAACTGTTCAATTGAGCAGCCATAATAGCCTAACTTAAGGTTCTTCTTGACATCCGATGTAGAGCGGCGGGCCTCAGACAGGAGAAGGGAGAGTTAGGCTCTCAGACCTGCTCCTGGTGTTTTCAGAGAATCCACGTGAGTGTCTGTGAGCCATGTTGTAAAACCTGGGGATCCCGAATCCCATGTGCCCAATGAGCGGCAGTGTTGTGTGCTGAACCTCGGTGAGGCCGGCGGTGCCTGCGAGCTGCATCTCGCGCGTTTGGTTTCCAGTCTGTGTTAACAGTGGTGAGAAGCGGAGCTGCCAGCAGCCAGGGAAACTTCAGACTGGAGTAATAAAACCAAAGAAGTGTATGATGAGCTTGGGCACCTCTTAGGCAGCCGCTAAATTTCTGTGTTACTAGAACACAACTTATGGTTAAGGTTTGAAAGTCTGTGTCTGGAATCTGGTCCGAATCATAGAATGGTTAGAGTTGAAAGGGACCAACTCTACAGTTACCAAAGTAACTGTAATTCTCATTCCAGGCCTATCTTATATCTGATTGTAAAACCTAGATGATACATGTTACGTTGGGCTTTTGAAACATGAATTTAAAGGTGGTTGAGGTTTGTCTCTTAACTTTCTGAATGTGAAGAACAAGAATACGGAGAAGAGAATATAAGGAATTATGCAGGGTGTAGAGCTCCAGCCTGTTTGGACTTTGTAGATGGAGAACCTGTTATCAAGGTGTTTTAATCAATGTTTACTGAAGGAGCAGTAGTTCCAGAACTGGGTTTCATAGGTTGCACTCTCACTTATGTGGCAGCTTAATGGCAACTGCTATTAACTTGAGAGAAATCTCTATGCCTTCCTTCAATATTTCCTTGAAATATTTCCTGTTGGTCACTTGTTTACAAGCAACTGGATAGACAAGTCTGATGCACAGAAACAAGATGAGCTAGCAAAAAATATTTGTGACAGAACAAGTCCTGCCTGCTTACAAATCTGTATTTCTACCAGGCATATTCATTTACCAGACTAAAGATATGCCTAGTAGGATGAAAGCCTTGAGTTCCTATTGTGATTATTTTTTTCTTTTTCTTTTTCCTCCTTATCTTCTTGAAGAGCATGTAGCAAATTGTACAAGAGGAAATCTGGTCATTCAACAAATGAAAGGGTGAAAGTAGAATACGTAAAACAAACAAAAAGCCTAATTTAAAAGTTTTAAAATACGTTAATTTCAGATTCTTACAACTGTGAAGATGAGGGGGAGCGGTTCTTCGAAATATGTCAGTTTTCTTCATTTTGAAGAATGGATTCTCTTTATGGAGCAAAAAGAGGGAAAGCAGTTTGTTTAGAAAGATATTCCCAAAAGGGAGCAAAATGGGAGTTGCATTCATCTACAGGGACAACTCCACAGTTATAAGAGTAGGAGGAATATGGTTAGAGGAGTAGGGTTCTCTTCTACTCAGCTGGAAAGATTTGACTTGTGTCTCTGGCAGGAACTGTGCAAGAAGAAGTAACCAGCTGCGGTTTTTTCCTCCCCCCACATGCTACTTCTCAAGTCTCTCTCCAATGTGTGGGTCATTGAGGAAGCAGACTTGTATGCTTTTGTTTTGCTTTGCTCCTAATACTTTCTTCGTAGCTACCAAGTGTGTTGCTCAGTGCAATCCTCGAAGAAAAACAAGGAACAATACAGGCTAGACAGAAAACTATCATTACTCCACTGGCATCTTAAGCCAGGCTTTGGGAGCCGTTGGTTTAGAAGCAGTTTAGAATGCT